TAAATTGGATTACTAAATAGCTAGAAATTGTAATTTTTATTTATAAAATATAATTTTATAAAATTATTTTCAAAACAAAAACTTTATATATTAAAATTTAATATATTTATTTCTGTACATTATTGCATAGGTTTACAACTAGTATTTTATAAAAATTTAATTAATAGAATCCAATTATTGACCTAACTAAATTTAAAAAAAATATTCATTCTGCCAAATAATAAAACAAATTAATCAATTTGAAACTAATAAAAAAATATATATTGAAATATTTAACCTATATAAATAATAGTAAAAAATAAAAATATCAAGTGCAAAATATAAACAATATTTATAAAATGCAAGAAAGTACTATATATATATATTTTTTTAACAATTCGGCAGTCATGTTTTTACTTTATTAGGCTTTGTAATAATTAATCTAGACTATTAAAATTTTAAAGAGACTTATTGGTAAGTAATAAACTTTAAACATGTTGGCAGATAGTATATAAGAACTATCTCTAAATGAAATGCACTGCGCCTGAGGGCCACATAACTATACCTAAATTACAAGTAAAGACTAACCCGGTTGCTCAATGAGTACCTATGTTTGACTTGCTATAGTAGGATTCTCCTCCTTCCGAACCCCTCCTGCAATTGGATATAACCCGGCTCTCAACAGATAGTATCTACTGCCCATCATGACCATCTCTCCCTTCTTTTAGACTTTTCCTACCTAAGCCTGACAACAAAATTAAAACCCTTATTCATATATAAAAGTGAAAAAATAATGCTATATTTATAAGAGATATAAACATTTTAGAAAAAAAACACCTCACGGTGAAAAAAAAACTTTCAACAAATTCTAAAATAGTCTAACATAAATGAACCAAGATGAAAAAAGTAAAAAAAAGAAAGGTAGCTATGATACACTATTATAGCTCGTGCCAGGCATAAGAATAAAAATTATATAATAATTGCAACTAATTAATATATCTCGATTGTAAGACGTTACCTTATTGTAGAGGACTTGTTCCAGATACCAATGAAACTCGAGTATCTCCTAAATGAAGGTATCGATCTCTTCCCCATATCATAGCACCGTATTGATAAACAAAACAAACATGTGGTTGCATTCTACTGAGTATATCTGAATTAGGAAGGTGTAAACAATGCCAATCTTTTGGGGGGATAAGCCCAAATGCCTACTTTTTTTCGAAAATTTTAGAGAGAATGGCAAAAGCAGGAGGGAGGTAAAAAAACTAAGAAACACTAAAAAAATATTTACCCAAGCCTGTACAATACTAAGTTTTTTCGGTGCATAATAAACTCTGAGCTTGTTGGCAAGTAGTATATAAGAACTACCTCTAAATGACAAGTGCTATGCCTATAAGGTCACTTTTCCCATGTCTTACATTAAGGCCTATTGAACCAAGCCATGATGTATGTTATTCAAAGGAAAGTCTCCAAATTTCCAAAGAGCATCGTTAAAAAAATCTATTTGTTGTTTTTCTTCTATTCTATTCTTTTGTATTACAAGTTACTTCGTCAACAAAAAGGCCTCAACTTCTCATAAGCACCTTCTTTTCAGAATTTTGGAAGCAAGAGTGCCAACTCTTGCTAGTTATCTTGTTTTCTAATGCTTCTAGTTTGCATGCCGAATATGTAAAGGAGTCTCCGGAGTAAAAGGTTGACCTTTACAAAAACCACCCCATAGTGCTATATTTTCCTCTCCAACAAATTTTTGTTTTTCTTTTGGTGGAAAATTTTGGTCTAGATAATTGTTGGAAAGAATTAGATAACATAATTGCAAAAAAGTGCTATATAATTTGAAAATATTGAGATATAATTTATAAAAAATTGTAGATAATATAGAAGAAAAAAGTGCAAGAATAGAACTTAATACAATTATAATAGTCTTTAAAAATTTATTTATAATATTATCTATAATATGATCTGATAATACAAAACTTTTATAATATTTACTTTAACTGTTCTTAACAATCAATACAAAAATTCTTTATAAAATATAATCTATTTATTGTTTTTATCAAATTAAATTATATAGTATAGTAAATAGAAATATCTTTTTTTTTTTTTTTTTCCTTTGATAACCGCATACTAAAATTTATTAAGATGTGATATTCAATACAATATTAAAATACTTAATGTTTGATTAGACTAAAAGCCGGCTGCCTCTCAAAGGTGTCTAACTTTGGTTATCACACTGATGATTGCCACTATACCCCATGTATGGTGTGCCATATTTAAAGATATAATATAGCTTGGGCTTAGCTCCCAACTCATCAAGATTTCACTTTCTCTTTAAATTCTTCCTTCTTCTCAAGGGGTACGAGACAAAAGGTGGAAAAGTTTAAACAAAGAAACCACAAAAATGACCAAAAAAGAAAAAAACCAATAAAGCAAAAATGAAGAAAAAGAAAAACAAATTGCAAAAAAGAAAAAACATAAAAAGAAATCTAAGATCCTAAAGGCACTATTATAACCTGTGCTTGGCTAATAAAAATTGTATAACAAATGCAATATTTGTATATCACTTTTATAAGGCTTCACTTTAACATTAAAGTTACTTTCTGATCTTCTCACCAACTCCGAATCGCTTCGTTGCCCATTCTAATTCGTATCTCGAGCCAGGTGCTGCTGTTGTTTAAGGGTTACACTTATCCTAACCCAAGAAGGACCCGTATCTCAAGCCACCTACTGCCGTAATTAGAGTTTTCAGGCTGAGTCCCGTGAAGTAGTGCTGTATCCGTCTGTAAACAAACACGTGGTTGCATTCTGCTAGTCTGTCCAAATTTGGGATGTAAACAATACCAATCTTTTAAAAAGGGTAAGCCAAATTCTCACATTTTATCAAAATTTTTTGGAAGACCGATGAGGAGACAAGAAAAAGTAAAAAAAGAACCACTTAACTACATAAAAGAGAGTGGCTTGAGAATAACTCATTCTTTACTGTTCTCCAGTTGTTTTGCAACCAATAGCTTCGTTGATAAAAGGCTTGGACTTCTATTACCTCCACCTATCCACCAAAATTTTATATATGAGGGCACCATCAACTGCTAGTTATCTTGTATACTGATACTTTTGGCTTGTATGTTAAATATATAAAGAAGTTCCCAAAAATAGAGAAAGGTTAATCTTTATAAAAACTGCCCTGTTAAAGTCACCTCACTCTTTAGTATCGAAAATAGACTTTTCTTTTCATCAAAAAATTTGGTTCAAGTGATCATCGGAAAGAGTTAATAAATAAAAATATCTAAATTTGATATTAATACTATTCTAATATAGATACTTGGGCTTTCTTGAAAAGTCTTATAACAAAAAAATAAATAAAACATATTAAATCAAATTTTACACTAATCCAAAAATAATATACAATATAAAGAACCTAAACTAAGTGAAAACCTTTTCAAGAATCAGAAATATACAAAATAAAATAGTTTTTATTGTAAACTTAAATTTTATAATATAGTAAGTTTGGTAATAAAAGTTTATTAAATAAATTTCAAATAAACACTTGGTACAAAATAGTAAAAATTTACAATATAGTATATAAAGTTAAGATAATAATTGTTTATTAAGTTCAACTTTTCTTAATAATCACTTATACCAAATTTTCTCACTAAACAAAAAACAAAAATTTTGTTGGAGATAGAAGAAGGTACTATAGAATAGTTCTTGTAAAGATCAACTAGCACTACAGGAACTCCTTTAGCATATTTGGCATGCAAGCTAAAAGTATTAGGATTCAAGATAACTAGCAGAAGATGGTGTTCTTGTATACAAAATTTTGAAGAACTAGGTGCTCTAATAGAAGTGAAGCCCTTTTATTAATAAAGTCATCTATAGGCAAGAGAAGTGGGAAACAACAGGACCCCGGACATCTCTGATATATGTCATATTTTTTTTCAGCGAATTGCCAAAAATTTGGTCAAAGGTCCAAAGTTAAATTTTAGTGAATTGATATTAATTTTAAAATAGATCATAATTGACTATTTTGGTGAATTATGCTAATTTTATACATGTTATATTTTATTTTCAGCGAATTACCTACATTTTGAAAAAATTATACTCAAAAATAAGCTACTTTATTTTTTAAACCACTATAATTTTTCAAAATTCAAGAAAAGATGCTTACCGTCTAGCACTGTATAAAGTATCCCCATCGAATAGTACCCCCCATGATTAAGACCCAAGTATTATTCACTATCTGCAAAAACCCAGCTATAGTTAGTATCCGGGTATTATTCAAAGTTGAACTTTGTAAAAATTGATTAATACCCAGGTACTAAAGAAGACCCCAATAAAAATAAAAATAAAAATTATTGGTAATAGGTTTATCTTTTTGATTAATTATTTTTTAGCTGTCTTGGAGCTAGCGATAAAGTATAACTTTTATTCATTTTATAACTTAAGAATTATTATTAATTCTGTTTTGTCATCATGACAAACATACTTTCCTTATAAATATATTTTTAGCATTTATCATATTTTATCGGTTTAATACAATTGCTTGTTATTAAAAGAATTTATGTGTATAACCGAAGTTAAATTTTATAAAAAAGAAAAGTGGCCCAAAATAAAAATTAAGCTCAAATATTTGTTATAGTAATAAAATCTAGTTTATTTAATTTTATTCAATTTAAAAAAAAAACTATTCGATTTTTTTTAAAGAATATTTCTCACACAATTATATCAAATAATAGATATCAGCTGCCAAAGAATATTGTCTACTTTACGTATAATTTTCTCAGCCCTCCTAATAATAAAACAACCATACTAATGTATTATATATCAGCATATTACGTACTGCGTACCTAAAAGTAATAAGATCATTGTTACATACAGCATATCTTATTTGAGCGTAAAATAAACTAATGATAACATATTTTTAAATTTAAGTAAATGACCAAATAAAAAATTAGATAAGATAAAAAAATAATTAATTAATTTTAATAATTATTTCTTGCTAATAATAAATTACGATTTAATGAAATTTAGCTCCAAACATTAATATAATTTGTCTCTTCATTTTCATAATATTCGTCATTTGAATTATTTTCACCTTCCGGAACTGGTTTATTACTTTCTTCTACATCTTTCAGAATTGGTTCATTACTTTCTTCTGTGTTTTCTGGAACAACTGGATCATTACTTTCTTCTTCCTTTTTAATATCAATTCTTGCACCTTGTATACCTGGAACTTTTTCAAAATCAAAGATTAAATTGTCTTCAGAGCTATCCATCTCTGTAGAAACGCCACAACACTTAAAAGACCATTGTATCATTGTAGTATCAATATCATCCCATGCTTTTTTGATCCAGGTTGTTACTAATGAGTATGATGATCGTTTAATTTTCTCAGTTGGTGTATATTCTTTTATTGCCTCATCTATCCATTGATTATACGCATGATGAACCTATATTAAAACAATAAAGTCAATAAATTTTTTTACATAATATTAATATGCAAACTAAACCAACCTTTGCTTTAAATGATTTGTTCAAAGACACATCCAATGGTTGCAAGCACGAGGTTAGTCCAGATGGAATTACAGCTATATCTGTATTTTTCTCACGAAAACAACATTTTACAGAATCCGTTATATGACTAGCAAATAAATCAAGAACAAGAAGTGAATGTGAATTTAATCCTAAACCAGCTCATCGGCGCTATATATTTTCCACCCACCAAATCATTTCTTTTTCATCCATCCAGCCACTTGGATTTGCATAAACATAAACACCATCTGGAAATTGCTCTCGTGGTACATTAACTAACTTAAAAATAATTAAAGGCAGAAGTTTAGTGCTATTTGCAAGACAGGCAAGGGTTACAGTAAAATTAGTATGTTCATGACCCGTTGTAAGAATTGAAACTATTCGCTTTTCACATTCTTCAACAGTTGTATTACTTGGTAAATTAAATAACATTGGGGTTTCGTCCATATTGCCAATTAAATTCAAAGGGTAGTTGTATTAAGTTCGATGATAAAGAACATACGCTAAAAAATTTTGTTGCAATTCTTGATGTTCTTCAGGCAACTTTTGGGCAGTTGTAGTACATTGGTGGTTTACTAATCTCTTACGAGACATAAATCCATCTACCCATTTTTGTGAGAATCGACATTCAAGAATATTAGGATACAGAGTACGATATGCTTGTCTACTAGCCAAACTACGGGCTTTTGTGCTAATCATATATCTCATTACAGTTTTTAGTTGTCTTTGTAGCTCACGAAACCACTCTAAAAGTTCTTCTTTTAGTTGTGGATACCTGGGCCTTGCACTAGCATTAAGTCATCGAATATATGGTGCTGCACTCATTAAATCTTTTTTTTTTTTCCAGTCACAAACCTGCTTAGATTCGATTTCAAATTTTTCTGCTATTGCCCGAATACTATGCCCACCTTCTTGATAAAATACAACCATTAACTTTTTATGAACATTCCATTGTCGACGTTTTTTCTGTGTAATAATTGCTCGTTGTGTATTAAAATTTCCTTTTGGCATTTTAAGGATGCTAAATCTTTTTTAGCTTAAATTTTTTGCGATCTTTTTAAATATATACAAGGCAAATCTAGGGTACAGAATCTGCCTTAATGTTACACAAACTATTCAAGGGGCATTCCAGGTTTTCGTATTGTAAAAGTGATTGATTATTCTTATTCTATCTTTATCTATATCATATAAGTTTTTATGCTTTTATTCTAGTCATTTAAAACCATCTTTGTGAACCTAAATTTACACATTATTGTTATTCCATATAGCAAATAGAAGTCTTTCCATTGTTAATCATTTTAAAAAAGAGGTAAATATCTTTAAAATAGTGATTTGAAATATTGGTCATCTCATTAAGCATGATACACCAACTTGATACATTTGAATTAAAATTTAATTACACAAAATTTTAC